AAATCTAAAATCCAGCCTAAATCGCGGGCCGAATGGTTTACTGAACAGTCATAAACTGTCATTGTGATGGAAATGCAGTGGAGTGCAGTGATGACAGTGCGGTGCGGGCCACATTGCAAGGCCTGGCGGGACGGATTTGGCCCGCTGGCCTTGTGTTTGACACATGTGCAGGGAATCGTCCCCCAGTGCCCGTCACCCAGAGAGCTTCATGCACCAGCTGTGCCCTAGGGGCCCGCCCCGCCCAGAAGCCCCCACCTTCCTCTGGATGTACGCAGTACCCTGGCCATGCCCTGCCCAGCCCAACTCTGCCAAGGAAAACCATTTGGATATTTCTCTATTGTGATCTTGGCCACTCTTTTTTGATGCGGTAGAATCAGACAGTTTCCCTTTCAGTTGTTCCATTATTTCAAACTACTCGTTAAACAATGTCTTCAAAGAAAAACCAAGCCACCAGATTAATAAAGTGCCACTGAACGGGTGTGACGAGGGAGCTGTCAGACCCCACGCAGGGAACGCTGACATGCAGGCTGGCCTGACCTCGGGGACCCGGGCAACTGTCGCATGACTTCCACTCTGTCTCCGGAGTCGAGAGCCGCTTAGTGCCAAGTGCTATGTGGACACTTGCCTGCTGGACAACGGAGACAGGAATTTATTTTCCATCTCTCAGGCAGCCTGACACAGAGCACGTAATGATTTTCTGTCAGGCCAGGCTTTGCTGGATTTGAACCCGTGACCCAGAGGTAAAAGGCCCCAATGTAAGGCCCTCTTTACAATAACTAGCCTGCCCGGGCCTCACTCTGCCTGGCCCAGCGTTCTGTCTTGGATCTGCCCACGTGTTTGCCTCAGCCAGTTGAGTTTTGGTTGCATCCTAACGTAGCATTTGGGACTGAGAGGTTAATGTTCCAGAATTCATGTCCAGAAGAAATGGGAAAAAGCAGGTAGTTACTATAAAGGAGCACCTATATGATTGTCAGCTGATTTCTCAACAGAGACCATGCAGGCCAGACGGGAATGGCAAGAAATATTCAAAGTGATGAATAGTAAGAATCTACAGCCAAAGATAATCTACCCAGGAAAGCTATCACTCATAATCGAAGGCCAGATAAAGAGCTTCACTAATAATAATAAAAAAAAAGCTAAAGGAGTTCATCACCGCCAAACCAGATTTATATGAATTGCTGAAGGGGGTTCTTTCGGAAGAGAAAGTAAATAAAGATAAAAATTATGAACAACAAATACGTAACTATCAACAAGTGAATCTAAAAACCAAGGAAATTAAAAAAAAATCTGATGAACAATATTAACTGGTGAATATAATAGAATCAGAGGTATGGAAGGGGAGTGAACTGATGATTCTTGGGGAAAAGGGGAGAGGGGGATGTGAGAAGAGACTGAACATAAATTGTGCACCTATGGATGAGGACAATGGGGGGTGGGGAAAGGGCAGAGGGTGGGGTGGGAACCTGGTGGAGGAGAGCAATGGGGGGCGGGGGAAGGAACATTTGTAATAATATGAACAATAAAAATTTATTTGAAAAAATAAAATAAAATAAAATAAAAGGCTGTTGGTCTTAAAAAAAAAAAAAAAAAAAAGGAAATGAGAAATGGGAGGCAGATGATGCCATAGAGGCAAGGGCCTGTTTGACTAGCCTGGGTCCAAAAGACACATGCTCCTCCAGGCTGGGGGCCTGACCCTGACCTCAGGACCTTTGCACATGCGTTTCAGCCAAAGAGATGGCTCCCAAAGGGAACACCACACAAGGATGTGCCTCGGGGGGGGGGGTGGTGCTGAGGTCTAGATCCTTTGGGTCTCAATTATGCTGGGGTCAAAACTGTCATTACTTTTACTGATGGTTTTCATTAAAAAAAAAAAAAAAATTAGGAGCATCCGTAGATAATAGGATGATTCCTAGCCCCTGAATGATAACCGAGAGCCACACGCCACTTTCTAAAAATGGTGTTTCATAACCTGAAGACATCTGTCCTCCAAAGCCAGCGAAGTAACCTGGAGGCCTTAAGGGCTAACCCATTGCTCCATAAACATTTATTGAGGTTCCTACCCTCAGGCAAGCATCCTGTCAGTTATCGGGGTTACAGAGATAAACAAAGCAGGTACCCATGGAAGAAACTGATCATTTGGGGGGTTGGGGGGAGAACATGTGGAAAATGATAATTTTCTACAACCTGATGAGTGATAAATTAGCAAGTGAAGATGTTCTTTATACAACTGAAAACCAAAGACGGTGTCTCATAAGCGGGGGAATGTGTCAGGGAGGGGGTGGGGAGACTGTGAATCCAGTTAGTAGTGCAGAGGAGGTGGGAAGCCCAGGTGCTGGCCACGTCAGCCATCCAGGGGGAAATCCAGACTTTGTCACTTATAAGTTCTGGCACCTGGAACTTGGTCTCTTGGAGCCTCCATTTTCTCATCTGTAAAATGGGAGCAATTACACCAAAGCCCAAAATTGTCACAGAATTAAACAGGGTAATTCATGGAAAGCATTTAGCAGAGCGCCCAGCACATGGCAGGCGATGGATACATGCCAGCAAAGGGCTTCCTGGTGGAAGAAGGGCAATCCTGGAGGGAAAAGAAACACTAAGGAAGGTTTTTTAAGATAGCAGCAGTGGGATGGGGAAGAAGGTGGGAATTAAGAAGTTTTGTAGACAGAATAAAGAGAATTCGCTAACTGAAGACCAAAAGTGAGCTGTGAAGGCTGAGGGGAGGACCGCTAGGCCTGGTTGCTAAGCCAACACAGAAAGCAGGTTGGGGAGGTTGCTATGCCAACAGAGGAAACTAGCTTGGGGAGGGTGAATGTAGGGAGAGGTTATTGACTTTTCCTCTAGGGCACGTGGGGTTAGAGGGGCCTTGGGGATATTCAGGTGCGAATGTCCAGTGAAATGGGAAACGTGAGCTCAGGGCCACAGATCTGGGCGTCCTTGCTGGTTTACAGAAGGTTGACTAATGCTGTGGGCGTGGCTCAGAAGTTCCCACCAGTGGTGGGAAGACTTGAAGACCAGAATTCCTAAAAATGTTAAAGGGATGGGGTGGGGAGTGGGGGGGTTAAATGGGACTGTCAGAATGACCCACCCAGGAGGTGTAGCAGCAGGGGGTCTCCAGGACAGGAAGTCCTGTGGAAAATACAGCTGAGTTCCAGCCACGCTGGCAAAGCCTGCCTAGGACTCCGAGGGCCAGGCATGGACCCAGACCCCAGGACTTCACGGACGTGAGCACAGACAGGCGGGGCTGCAGGACCTCACGTCTGGAAGAGGCAGGAACAGGGCTGGGCCAGGACCCATGTCCTCCATGTGCTGCCTCCCCTCCCGTGGGCTCTGAGCTGGGCCTTCCTTCTGAGCTGGGCCTTCCTTCTGATCATCTGGAATTTCTGAGATGGAGGGGGGGGGGGGGGGGGGAGGGGGAAGGCTTTGATTCACACCACACAGAGAGAGAACAACATCCTTTATCCACCTTGGTGGCAGATTTCAGAGTTTAGAATCAGGCTAATTTCCAGAAGTTTAGGGTTGTGGAGAAGTCTGTTTAGTGGTGAGTTGTGTGGGCTCCTGAGTCAGGAGAATCTGATTTGAAATCTCCGCTCACCTGGGAACTGTGAGGCCTGCCATCACTGTTTGCCTCTCTGCCCTCAGTTTCCTTACCTACACAGTGGGGATGGCGATATTACATCTCCTCCTAGGGTTGCTGCAAGAGTCAAATGCAAAGTCTGGGTGAAGAGCCTAGTATGGCCTGTGGTGCGGAGGCATGCTGGGCTCGGCTGTCTCATTCCTCCCAACGCCAGCGTGAGGAACAGCATGCTGGCAGCTTGGCATCACCAGGGTGGGCATGTGTGCCCCACAGAGCACTGGGTATTACTGCTAGTGTCGCAATCTCCCAGTCCATCTGAGCGCATCTTAATTTATATCTGGATGTGATGGTTTAAGAGCGAATCCCGTGCTCCTCCAAGATTTCCAAGATTATCCATTCTTCTCATCACCTCCTGTAAACATGCCCGCTTGTGATTTGGTGTCCTTATTACTGGAATGTTTTATCTTATCTCCTCTATAGCACCTTTTGGTGGATGTTGAACCTTTTATTTCCTTTCCCCCCAGATAAACAGAAAGCTTCAGCGTAAAGCAGATTGACTTTTTTTCTGCAGAAAGAGTCATTATGGGAAACAGTATGGGGGATCCTCATGAAATTAAAAATAGAACCCCCATAACCCAGCAATCTCGCTTGGGGTATATAGCCAAGGTACACAAAATAACTAACTCAAAGGGAGTCTATAATAAGAACTCTCACAGTTTTGAAGGTGAGGACCTACCTGTTAAGATCACAGTTTGGAAAATCAATACACATTTTTGTGGCTGCTCCTCTGAGCCAGGCACTGCGTTAGGCACTGAAGAGAAATAGAGATGAAGACTGCATTGGAGGAGACAGAAACCTCAAGTAACAACCAGATGATGCAAAGGTTTGAGAAAACGGGAGGCATCTTCCAAGGGCACATCACGGGAAGCCAGCCCTGCCCTGTGGGAAGCAGGAAAGCTGGGTGGGGCAGGTGACGACACTTGGCCCTCAGGGAGAAGAGACTGCTAACCAAGCACAGCAAATCAAGAACAGAGGCATGGAATTCAAAGTAACTCGCTCATAAGGAAACACTGGGTTTGGAAAAGGCATTTTAAGGTTTCCTCTTTTCTCTCTCTCAAAAGAATAATGAGGGTAACAAGCATTCAGATCACCCCAAATCTATCACTTCTGTTGGGTATGCTTCTCTTTGGTCCTCAACTCCGATGCAGAGAACCTACCATATTTCTGATACAAAAGCCAGGGCTGTTTCTGGCTCTAAATTTATGGCCTGGAGAAAGAACTAAGAAGGAAAGATGGTGGAGCTTGTGTCTATTTCGCCACAAATTATACAATAGTGTCTGGGTGACTCCAGAGAAATCTGCAGGCTCTCAGAAGGCATTGGGACCGCATCTGAAATCAGGCTCACAATAAGACACAGGTTCTCTTGTGATTTCTAAAACATCTCTTTGTTTAATCATAGAATCCTTTTCATCTTCCATTCATCATAAATAATCCACTTCATTACTTTACCAATCCTTTTGAAAAAATTTGGTATTTAGCATAAACAAACATGGAACATTAGCCAGAGGTGTGTTAATTTAAACAGAATAGGAAAGAATTTGAAAAAAACAAAACAAAAAACCCATCCATAAAAATTTTAAAACTTAGAAAAGAACATAAGAATAGATAGAATAGATTATCACCCACTAAAAAAAAAAAAATCAAATTTCATAACAGCCATTAAAAAAAATCCAGGTGGAAAAATGGGTAAACATAAATATAATCTAATTATTTCTTTCATAAATACACTTAGACAAAACAAATACATAGAACAGATAGCTTGACAGTACATAAACATAATAAAGTATTTTCAGACATGAATAATTAAATCCCAATAAAAATGAGTTAAAAATAAATTTTAATTGTTTTTTCTTTATGGAAAAATATGCCACAGCATTTATGTAAAAAAAAAAAAAAGCATAAATTTATCACTAAAGTCACCAAAATTCACCATGTAGATGTTATAGTATTTTCAGTTGAATTTTATCCCATAATCACACACCTACTACAGGTGTTTGACAAGAGAGGTAGATAAGTTGGGGGAAAAACAGCATTCTAATGCTAGCTTTTATTGTAACTCAATTTCATTGACTCTGAACTTTAAAGAAGTTTACAGGAACAGAGCACAAAAACTTTTCTGAGCTCCATTATTTGTAAGCATCCAAAGTACCAAGCAAAATTACAAGCAAAAGTCTTGACAATGAAAACTCTTGACAAATAGCCCATTTAGCATAGTTTTATGCGAGGTCTGGCACTAGCTTTGAAATTGACACCGAGGACAACTGTTGTGAAATTTGTGAAATTCGGTGATATGGAATGAGTCAGAAGTTCACGGGAGAGGAGACCGGGTAGTAACAAGAACACAAAGTTACACTGTGGATAGACTTGATTGGTTCCTAAGGAATTGTTTTCTTTTGTTGACAGAACAAGAAGACAGCTGCCAAGGACAGTGTGGCCCGGTGTGACCCCAGGTGCCTATCTTGTCTGTCAAATCAAGAAAGACACATGGACAGGATGCCACAGAGGATGTGCAGGAAGCAGAGAGAGTGTCCCCCTGATTGTATATATTGCTTTATTCTCTCTTTGGGTCCAGTGAATGCTCTCCAGGCATCCCAGAGGCAAATATTCCATACTGTTTTGAAAGCTGAAGCCCAATTGGGAACAAAACCAATAAGTGGTTTTGCATTTTCTGTGCCCACTTTTCTTTCCATTTGGCTAGAAAGAATGTGTATCTGTAACATCTGTTTGCATCTATGACCTTCATATTTCCATTTATTCATAACAGCAATCTGATTTAAATTTTTTTTTAATGTCGCAATCCTTTGACAAGTCTGCCAAGGAAAATTTCATTCATAACTTGTCTCAAATGCCGTTAAGTATGCTTAATTCAAGGATGTAACAGGCTGCTTCTAGCTAACGGGGGTGATTTGTGCTCAGCACATCTATGTAACAAGAAAAGGTTTTTCTCAGTTGTGGAATGTGAATACAGCCCATCATTAATTGCTGCTGCTCTCAAACTGATAACAGGTTTGTGTCTCATATTTGGCTGCTATGAGTTTGCGAGTGTGTTGGGAAATAGGAAAGAAATTAAAGCAAAAGAAAAATGAAAAATCCATGATTTTGAAAATCCTGAAAGTCATATTCTGTAGTTTTCCTCAAAATGTCCCTTCATTGACTCATCACTCAACCATCAGGTCTTTTCTTTGAAGCAGCTTAGAGTAAATTTAAGACACATAATATCACAATTTCTGATCATGGCACAGAGGAATTTCTGTGTGGAAACCATTTGAAGGAATGTCTAAAAAAAATGATGTCAAGGAATGCAGACAACTTATGCTTTTCAGTCTATGACTCCTGTGGAGTTGATCAGAGGCATGTCACAGTTGTAGGGAAAAAAATCACACAGTAAATCAAAGTACTTAGATTAAGACTTTGGAAGTTCTCCCCGCTTCGGAAGGGCGTTTCTCCTTCCGAACAGTACAGTAACCATGACAGAGGTGTACGCACAAAGCTGGGGCTTTTGTCACTTGGGATGAACAACTCCAAAATACTGCACCGCCCCTGGCAGTAACCAACAAAGTCGGTTTTGGAAAGAACGCTCTTGTCAAATACATTTTTAAGGCACTTCAACAGTTATATCGTTTTCTGTGTGTAAAAAAATAAAATATGCATCGGAGCAAAATTCACAAGTACGCGTCTCAGGACTGTGCACAACCCTGTACATATGTACACCGCCGCAGCCCGGGCACCGCCTGTGCTATACGACCGGCCTCGTCAGCTTCACTCCCTGCAAGAGAGGAGAAGACGCAGTTCAGAGTTGGACAGCACCCCGGGGCCGAGTGCAAGCGTCAATAAATATCAGATCATCGATGCTACGAGGAGGAAGAGGCCCGTCCAGCGAGCACTATGTAACCACTGACCCAAACCTCGGTGACAGACATCGCCCGCCCAACTCTCTGGCCTGCAGGCTGTCACCTCCCAGCCTGGCCTGGCCGCTCACACAGTCCCCTGTGCACTGGGCTTGGCCCCAGGTCTCAATCGGTCTTGTCTGCAGGGACATTGTGGAGACACTTGGGATGGGTGCTCTGGGTTTGGTTTTGTGCTCCCATGGGAGGGATGCCATCCTAAGGCCCTGGCGTGTTCTAAGTTAGACAGCGGCCCCAGCGTGGGAAGATGAACAGCGCTGTCCAATGTCGCCTCCCCTTGGAAATGCTTCTTTATCTGCAGAACAAAGGCCAGGGCTTTGGACCATTCAGAACATTTCACTCTGACTAGTTTGCTATTTGCTATGGCTGTGCATTATTATTAGGGCATCAGGATTCTCAGATAATTTTCTTCATTCTTTGTCAAAATGTATATGTAGAAATTCTGGTCTATAAGGCACATATACATTGATAAATGTAAGTGTAAGTCTAACTGAAATTTTTCAAAATGGGTGAACAGTGAAGAACAAGGTGCTAACATGCTCCTCTACCAACCCCGTGTGGGAGGACAAGGCCTGGAGCCGTGCCTGGCGCAGAGTGGCCCTCACTAGCACTTGGTTAAGTAACTACATGAGTGACGGTGGTGACAGGAAGGACAAGCACAGCAGCTAGCTTTTGTCAGACACCTGCTGCATGCTCCCCCACAACTCTGGGGGTATATCAGCATCAGTCCTCGAATGGCAAACACTGAGGGGCAGAGGAGTGATGTGGCCAGCAGTGAGCAGGGGCAGAGCCGGCAGCGGGCTGGCTCTCGGGTCACATGTGCTTTGAGTGCATTTACTGAACATTCACCCCAGTGCACTGTGCCCTTCAGTATGAGCAAATGGAAACGAGCTTTACAAGCTGCCTTTTAAGTATAATTGTACTTTTATAACCACACAAAACATTTAACCTCAACCCTCCTGCTCAGACCGAAGTGGATCCATGCATCATTGTTGGGTTTAGTTAAGGAACTATGTCCTCTGAGAACAAGAACATGCAGTGTGTGGACAGCTAACACCCAGAAATAGCATTTCAATCTGATCTGGATCCAAGTAAGATCCATCCGGAGTCCCACCTTCTGCCGCGACACCATCCAGGACTTTATTGTGGGCACCAGCACGCTGCCCAGGAGGATCTGCACCGGGTGGTAGATGAGCAGAGGGACGGAGATCAGGGAGAGGTGCTCGTGGCCTGCGAACACGATCTTCAGCATCGGGATTCCTGAGGGACAAAGGGAGGAAATCGAGAGGCACGTTCAGTGTGTCATCCATTAAGGACATTCTCCACTAACATTGGAACTTAGAATAGGTCATTGCCGCATCCCTCGTGGGTGTTCACAGGACTGGAAAGGGAAGGTCTCAAATGAGTCACCAAGTCGGTTCATCTTCTTTTCAGGACACAGGCTCTGAGCTCCACCTGGAGCCAATGAAAGCTCAGAAGGTGCTCAGTATTTGAGGGCACCAAGAACTCTTGCTGCATGAGCAGCCTGTCTAACAGGAGGAGGGGAGGAGATAGCGTGGAACAGAGTTGCTTCAGGAAGTCTGAAAAATCCCAGAGAGGCCAACGTTCAGAATGGGTCCTTTCTTGCTTAGTCGTGAGATAGGGAGGCCTTCCTGGCACCATTTCAAAGCCCCAAAGCTCACTTTAAAAAAAAAAAAATATATATATATATATATATTCTATTGATTTTTCACAGAGAGGAAGGGAGAGAGATAGAGAGCTAGAAACGTCGATGAGAGAGAAACATCGACCAGCTGCCTCTTGCACACCCTCTATTGGGGATGTGCCCGCAACCCAGGTACATGCCCTTGACCGGAATCGAACCCGGGACCTTTCAGTCCGCAGACTGACACTCTACCGCTGAGCCAAACCGGTTTCGGCCATCAAAGCTCACTTTTGAGAGCTGGAAGGATATGGTCAGATAATGAATGGTACACACTGCGGTCTCTAGGAGGGTACTTCAGCCAAATGAACAGTAACCAAGGCTTTGCATGTTCTCATTTGGCCCAGGGTCTCAAGGCGTGCTACACAACATTGCACATGGCAGGCGAACTCTAAGACTAGTGCTGTTTAAACCCATGTTGAAAGTTTTAATGGAATTCAAGTACATGAACACTACTTCCTGAGTCTACACTCTATTACACAAGGGCACGGTGTGCATACGGTATTTTGTAAGCAGCTGACTACAGTGTGTATCTATTAAGCTCCTGTAACACAATCCAGACACTGGCAGTTGAACTGTTATTACCAGTGATTTGAATACGGCCTGGTTGTCAGGACAGGTGTGTATGTGGGTCAGCTCTGTCACCTGAATCGCTGTGAGAGCTTAGCCTTCTCCTCGTTTCTTTCTAATAGCTTCTGGAAAAGACTTCAGCTCCCAAGCTCTCACAGTGATGGCACAGAAACCATCTTTTATTGTAACCCGGCGGGGGAAAGCTCTGCGTTTTCAATGACTTGTGCTTCTGGTGAATTTCAAACCTTTACTCAACATGCATTTTCCCGCCGCTTTCTTTCTCCTGGCCTCAAGCCATTGCCGTAAACGGAAAACACTCCACCCTTCCCAACAAAGTCCTTCAGAGCTGCCAAAGCACAGGCTGAGGTTTCTGCACGGGTTCTGTCTTCTTGCTGATATAAAAGTCAAAGGTTTCTCTTAAAAAACAATACGCTCAATCTGTTCAATCTGTTCACAGTTGAGAAGCCACATCTGACATTGGAAAGTTGTTCCGAGGAGGAAAGGAGAAGATGTGAACACGCCCATCCTGTTTCCAGGAAAGATGACTTGGTCCACAGGGATGATGCCGAGAAGTCGGGGATGGGGGTGAAGGAAAGGTGGGGCTCCAGGGAGCGCATGAAATATGGGAACATTTGTCCCTAAAGGCGATCAGAGCAGGGGTTTCTGACCCCAAATTTGAGGACGTGGCTGCTGGGCTACAACGCCTGAGGCGTCCTTTCCTGGCTGAGCCTTGGGCTCAGAGTCACTGGGCACCGAAGGGAAGCCAGGGACACAGTCAGGCGGCTGCTGCTACTGTAAGTCAACAAGGAACCGAATGCAAGACATACAAGGTGTCTTAGTGTCCGAGACATCGGAAACCCACTGGCTGTGACGGATCAGGCAGAGACAGCAATGCTAAGGGGAAAAGTGGTTCCGTGTACTGAGTGCTTACTAGGTGCCATGTGTATCCATCTCCTGCTTTCCCATGTTAACTGAACTTGGCCTGGCAATAACCTGGAGGCTGCTGAAACTACCCTGTGCACGGCTTTCCTAGTGAGGAAACGGAAACTTTCCCCATGGTGAAGCCGGAGCTGCAACGAGGTCTTCAGTTCAGACGCCATGGGGATTGCAAAGCCTCGAAGCAGAACAGGCCTGGGGTGCCAAAAGCCTTTCAGACAGAAGTCCTTGTGGGCTCGTTCTCCTTGGAGCAGCTCCTGTGGATGAGGGACTAAGCGACTGTAGGGACCACCCCGGGGAAAGGGACAGAGACAAGCCAAGTCCTTACCCTCAGGAAGCTTCCAGTGTACAGTGACCTCTACCTTCTGAGGACCCGAACCCAGCCTCCCCCTCACCGGGAGGAAGGTCGCTCCGGCCTGTGCTGGACTTCCCACCCCACCTTCAGACAGGCCATTCTGTCCAAGCCTTCCTCCCCTCCTCACCACAGTGACCGCTGTTCACCACCATCTCATCATGCTAAATCACGCAGGTGTTTACCGTAGGCGACAAGGGCCTTCTGATTGGCCCCCACTCCCTCTGTGTCTCCACACCCCGCCCCTCTCCTGCCTCTGTGCTCAGCCATGAGGAGCACTGTGCCTTCTTCCTCACCGGCCCAGTCGTGCGCCATCCCCACGTCCTGTCCCGCCCGTGGGCCTTGGCACTTGAGATCCTTTTGCCTGGAATGCCCATCACCCACTTCCTGACCGGCTCAGCCTTCCAGCCCTTCCTTCTTTTTTTTTTTTTTTTTAATATATTTTATTGATTTTTCTTACAGAGAGGAAGGGAGAGAGATAGAGAGCTAGAAACGTTGATGAGAGAGAAACATCAACTAGCTGCCTCTTGCACACCCCCTACCGGGGATGTGCCCACAATCAATGTACATGCCTTTGACTGGAATTGAACCTGGGACCTTTCAGTCCGCAGACCGATGCTCTACCGGTGAGCCAAACTAGTTTCGGCCAGCCCTTCCTTCTTAAACTGCATCCGAGGCTGGCTTTAGCTCTGTGCTCACCAAACCTGGGGCTCACCTCAGCCCAGGGTCCCAGCATCTGGTATCATTGTGTGTTTTCCTCACTGAGCTAAGCTTCTCAGGGTCCGAGACCATTTCTTCTTCAGCTCTGAGCGTCCAGTAGGTGCTCAAGAGGAGTGCGCTGAATGAATAGGTTTGTATTTTTCCAAATTCCATCATTAAGTTACTGTGCTATGACTCCATTTTTTAAAATATATATTTTATTGATTTTTCACAGAGAGGAAAGGAGAGGGATAGAGAGCTAGAAACATCAATGAGAGAGAAACATCGACCAGCTGCCTCCTGCACACCCTCTACCGGTTATGTGCCCGCAACAAATGTACATGCTCTTGACCGGAATCGAACCTGGGACCCTTCAGTCTGCAGACCGACGCTCTAGCCATCGAGCCAAACCAGTTTCGGCTATGACTCCATTTTTATTACATTCATTAACTAGGTAAGAAAAAAAAAAGTGCAATGATTTAAAAAAAACAAAACAAAAAACCACCAAACTCACTAGAAAGAGTTTTCTTTTAAAAGTAAAATTTAAAATCAGGACCCTTTTCATCTCACCATCACTGCAGTAATACAAATGAAGGAAATTAATTTTAATGATCCCAGGTACTGATTCTGTGTCACCATGGCTGACAGGAGCCAACGAGACTTTAGGAGGTGGCATCTGACTTTATGGAAGTGAACACGAGGCATGCATTTACAATTTTACAGGGACTTTAGGCTGTCATGCTGAAAAATGTTTATAAAACATTAATCAAAAAGGGCCTCTTTAATACAATGCATTGTCTGAAAGATGTTAGAAGGCGCACCCTGTAAATGGATTCCTTTTCTGACTAAAGTAATTTCCACCCAAAGCATCTCCCCGCTGCTCTACACGCGCGCCGTGTGGCTAGATAAAGAGCCCTTCCACGGCACGTCACCGCCTGATGCGAGCACTTGGGAAGTCCCTGATGTACAGCACGCCGCATTTCCATGTCGCACATGACACACTCGTCTGAAATCACCCAACAGAGTTTGACACGGCGGCATCTTCCATAAGCACAGCTTTCAACAGACATCTGCCCGGTAGGAACTTCAAGTGCGAGCTTTCTTCTTCTAACAAGCAAGGAAGGGGTTTCTTTTATCCTTTCCTTTTATTCTTTGTTCCCAGGATGGAAGGGATAAAACAACACGAACTGGAACAGGTCCCCCCCTACCCCGCAGCCCTCCATTTTAAGTATGTTTATTTTATGTTCTCTGAATTACAATATTCCCTTTGTATCAAATGTTCGAGTTTCAAGTTACTACTTTCTACTGGATGAACTGTTTTCTATTTTTCCTTGAGAAACAGATATCCGTCTTCAGAGATTAAACGTGGGCCTTTGTATAATTCCCACAAAAGGGTTATTGATAGTTCACAATATAAAAACTATTGACTTGATATCATTATTTAGAGTTTATTTTACCTGTAGGTGCCCAATGTTCTCTTTCTATCTATCTATTGTATCTATCTATCTACCTATCTATCTATCTATCCATCCATTCATTAAAAATAATACTCTTTGGGCCTCTGCTGTCTGTGAGTTCTTGTTCCCGGGCTGAGGACATTAAGAGAACACAGGCAAAGTCTCTGCCTTCCTGAGGTCTTGACTACCTCAACTTTCCCCCAACTAAGGGATGAGAGTCCCCCTTTCTGTCACTGGCTTACCCAGCTTCTACAACTCAAACTTGGGGCATCACCTCGATTAATCCCATTTGTCTTTCCAGCTCCAGAGGAAGCCACCAGCTCTACATGATGCTCCTGCAGTCTCCCCTCCACCCACATCCCCCTTCCCTCAGCTTTCACCACACCTTCCTAACTCAGTTCCTCAACCAATCAAGCCAAGATGACTCTTCAGCCTCCTGCCCGGGCCCGTCTTCAGATTCTTCCCTTCATCAATGCTGCAGACCAGTGGGATTCATCTTCCTAAAGCCCGGATCCATGAAAGCCACTCCCTGCTAAACAATCAC